GTATGGTTGGTTGTTAGTGGAATTTTGGATTTATATTAAAATAATATTTAAAATAAAATAATTAAAGTTAATTTGATATAAAAGTAGGAGAAAGATGATATATGAAGTGATTGTTAGTTAAAATTATGTGAGTGGATGAACAATGTGAACTAAAGTAGATGTGATATGTAAGAATAATTGGATGATATTATTTAATTATATTGATAATATTAAAAATATTGAAATTGAGTTAAAGTTAAAGTTATATTTTGAGTTGAATGAAATTTGGAGTGAAAATTTTTATATAAAAACTTGCTCAACTTCCGCCAAATGCCAAATTGGACCATTATGTCGTCTCAATTATTTTTATTTCTATCATGAGTAGTAACTTCTATTCTCCTTTCCAAATAAAAATTATAAGTTTGTAAATATTATTTATTTACATATATGATATAGTATATGATTATGATGTGCATGACCCTAGGTCGAATTCACTCCGGGAAAAATGGACCAGGAATTCCTTTTTTACTTTTTTCCGAACTAAATTAGGTGTTTTTGACTTATGTATGATAAACTAGTATACCTTGTGCAATGCACGGGGCAGATATATTAAATGAGTTATTTTTACAGTCTTGGTTGTTTAAGTCTAAAAAATAATAGGGTTATTATCTATTTTTTACCTCTTTTAATCAACGTTAAGTCTAAAAAATAATAGGACGTTATTATAAGTTTTTTGCGTTGTTGTTTTAGCCAGAACATTAAATATGAGCATGTTAGGGCTAGCTTGTAAAATAATTAATATATGATCTCACTAAAACATTTATACTAATAAAAATTTAATTTTAACATATAAATTTAACTTTTGATATAAGAGAAAGTAACAGTACTACTTATTGTTGTTCACTATATAATATTTAATTATTATTTTATTATGTAATAAAAAAGAATATTATTAATAGTGTAGTAGAATTGTTATAAAATTATATGAATTATTTTTTTTTTACAATATAAATTTAATATCTTTTTATGCTTTGATAATATAACTATAATATATTCTTAATGAGATACGGATTTACATAATACTATGGATTTATTCCATAATGTTAAGATATTGAATTAGGTAATATATGATTCACGAATTTGTAATCTGTCTATTTTTATATTGAAAATAATCATGTGATTGAGTAGAGATAACAATTATTTATAGATTCTTTCATTTAAGGAATAATATTTAAATTGGTCCAAGTGTAAATAACCAATTTTTCGATATCTACTCATTTATATTAAGTATATAAAATCCTTAAATTCATATTTTAAATTAGGCAAGTATTATGTGAATTCAAATCCTTATTACATTAAGTGTAAATGCCTTTATTATCTGCTAATTCATTAAGTATATTCTTTCGGCCAAATCCTTGTTACATTAAAATCCTGCTTATTTGGTATATTAATCGGACAATAACCTAATATTGTAGCAATAGGTTTAAGTAACTTATTAGGTTGAAATGAGACATTTTAATATTGTAGCAATAGTTTACTTATTAGGTTTATGTTTTTTTATAATATTTGTAAAAGTTTACTTATTAGGTCTACTTATATTATTAGGTATACAATGAAGTTGACTTTTAATTAAATAATTAAATAAACTAATAAAAGTTGACTTTTATTTAGATAATTAAATAAACAAATAAACAAAATAATTAAATAATTAGATAGGATTTGTTTGGGATATAAACCAAATAAACAAAATAATTAAATAAAATATTTTAATACTGAAATAGTAATGACATTAAATGCAGTTGACTTTCTTAGATACTGTTTGTAAAAAATAGGATTCCCTTTTATATAAGTATAGATGACATATGCTTATGTACATCATCATAGATGACATATGTTTATGTACATCATCGTGTTGTAATCATGGAGTAAAAATATATAATGTAAAATATGTACATGGCCGGTGCTGATTAAGACTGGATTAACTGGACTCCAACTACCTAGTCATAATGATTAATCTGGTTTAAAAGATAAAAGGAATTATATAATAATTTTTTTCATTTGGAAAATTAAAATAATTAATTAAAAAATAAGAAAGGCCAAACTTTTGGGTCTAGAAGGCACGATATGCATTGCATGGCAATTTGTCTCCGTTTTCCCCCAAATCAGCCAAAAGTTTTCTAGTTATATTCATTTTCCTCACCAAACTCTATATGTCTACTAGTATGTAGGAGGTATTAAAAAAGAGATTGAAAAACTTCTGTTTGGACCAATATCTAGAAACTTCAATTTTAAAATATATTTATAATTTATCTTATTTTAGTATTTTATAAATTTCAAAGTCTTGAAAAAAAAAAGGATAAAAATCCAAGTAGAAATGAGTCATGTAAAATGTCGCTCGACTCGACTCGTGAAAAAATAAGAATACTCGATGCTCGACATGGCTCGAGTTAGGCTCGAAATTTAACAACTAAATTTTACACATAAAGGTATTATTTTTAATTTAAATAGACAATTTTGTTCTTGGTGTTATAATATTGATAATTAAGCTATATGGGTTGTTTATGTAACAAAAAGTCCCTCTTGAAATGATGCTTGAGCCTCGACTCGTTTGCTCGATTGAACTGTTTGAGCTCGTGAGCCACTCGACTAATTTGCAGCACTACTCACAAACACCATAAATAGACATATATAAAACTATTAATAACCATGACATAAGATTACAAAGCAACATTTTAACACGTAAGATTATGAATCACAAAGGTAGATGAATAGTAAATTAAAGTAGATGTGATGTGTAAGAATAATTGGATGATATTATTTAATTATATTGATAATATTAAAGATATTGGAGTTGAGTTAAAATTGAGTTATATTTTGAATTGAATGAAATTTGAAGTGAAAATTTTTATATATAAACATGCTCAACTATCCACTAAATGCCAAATTGGGCCATTATGTCGTCTCAATTATTATAAACAAGCGAACTTTAGAATCGTAATTGAAATTTTGTATCCCCGATCGTCATCCAAATTGTGAATCCCTGCCAATTGGCCACCAAGTTTCAACATGTAAATCACCACTGAAGATATGGTCTGCCAAACCTTTATGAAATTCCGATCAATAATGTCAACATGTTTGAAAAAAACAATATTTATATTTTTGGTTTATCGTAGTTAACTATGAAATTTTGCCAAATATGATTAATATATAAAATTTAGACTACCGTGTTAACAAAGGGATACCAAAAGTGAAAACATGTAAACTTTCGGAGTAAAAAAAATTATATTCCTAAAAAATATATTTAGATTTCGATCATTTAGTTTATGTTTGATAAAAACTAACTGATAAGTTAGATGATAGCTGATAAACTAGCTTATAGCTTATCATTCATTTTTGAGCTTGTAGCTTATGAGTTATAGTTGAAAATGTAGCTTATATGATAAAAGTATTTATTCTATGTTTGGTAAAACTAGTTGAAATAAAATTTTCAACGAGCTTATTTGAAAAGCTACCCAAATAAGCTTCTGAGATAAGTTCGAGCTTTTTAAAAAACTCGTTGCCAAATGAAGTTTATTTAAACACATGAAACTTATAAGCTAATCAAATAAGTTATAAACTAGGTTATTTGTCTCCAAAAAATTAGCTGATAAGCTAGCTAAAATAAAAAAATTTCAACGAGATTATTTGAAAAACTACTCAAAAAAACTTATGAGATAAGTTCGTCCTATCAAACGAAACTTATTTAAATACAAGAAGCTTATGCTAACAAAATAAGATATAAGTTAGCTTATTTGACTATCAAACATAGCCTTAGTTTTATGTGGGCAAAACATATTAATACTATACTTTGTAACTCTTACGTGTGTGTTACTCTTATTACTAATTGCTAATTATCTTTATTAATTTACTCCATTTAGATGAATAATACTCTTACATAAATGTTATTACTACTTTGTAAGTCGTACCAAATTTTTCTAATTTTCTAGTGTAAAAATTTAAAACTGAATAAATATAATAAATAAATATATATATATATATATATAAAGGTAAAAACTAAACCTATGGAGGGAAAGTGGCATTTTTTTGAACTAAAAATAAAAGAAGAAAAAAACACACAATTCCAATCTATCATTATATAAAAAGAATAACCTTTTTACAAATTTAGAAACTTTTTCCCGCGAAAATCATTAAATATATCATATATTTAGTAATTGTTGGACAAATCTGAATATGCAAAAAAATCGGCTCATTAATTGTGTAAAGATTTGTTTCTCTTTGTCCTTTTTTTAGTTTATCAAAACCGTTGTTTGACAGTAAATATTTGTTTTTCTTTTTCCTATTTTTAGTATAAATCTACACGAGCTTATCTCTTCTGTTAAAAAATCCCATCATATGTCTCACATGTTTAAAAAATCTCATCCCTTATTTATAGAGATTTGAAAAAATAAAATAAAATAGAAATCAATTCATAATTACTACTAGAAATTCATTATCTTTAAAAAGAAAAAATAAAATAAAATAGGAACTAATTCATAATAACTACTAGAAATTCATTATCTACTTTAAGAAGATGAAAGTCTTTAAAAAGAAAAAATAAAATAAAATAGAAACCAATTCATAATTACTACTAGAAATTCATTATCTACTTTAAGAAGTTAATTTTCATCGGTCTAATTAGTAATATTCTTACAAATATTATAAATTAACCATACAAAAAAGTATAATAATAATTTTGAAATGATGTGTAATCAAATTTTTTTATATTCTCTTATACAAAATAATTTTACATTGTTTGACCCCGAATCTTTAATTTATAATTATTAAGTATTGTTTATTCTCCTCATTTATAATTATTTTTTTTTCTTCCTCTTTTTAAATAGGATCAATAGTAATTTCCACTTCTACAATTGAGTGACTCAAACTCGAAATCTATTTATAATATTATTAATTTAATATTGTTCATGATACACACTAGTGGCTGTAAATCAGCCAATCAGGCAACGTTCGGAATCCCAGGCCATTTGATAACCGAAGCAGAGTGGGCCCCACAGTCCTCCGAGCAATATCACCCCTCCAATAAATCCAGAACACGTGGCCTCAACAATATCCATAAACCAACAAAAAATATCTCTCTTCATTTTTAGTCCACACGCCACGTAAGCACTTCATATACAATTCTCTGCTCAGAGATTGGCCACGTCATCGAGAGCTTCTCGTCCGAGACCTCATCCTCCGTCGATTTCCTGTCTTCTGATTCACAGCCGTAGATATTTAGAGCAGAAAAGCTTGTGGACGCCAAAAATCGGAGGGAACTATTTAGTGTATTTATATATTTATTTTTAATGATAATATTAACTAGTAAATCAAACGTCTCCGTTTCAGCTCAGATTTTGGGTACCTTCCACAACAATTTCGCCGGAATACTCGATCGCTCGCCGGAGTATTTCTCCGATCAGGTATACTCAACTCCGTTAAAGCGCCCTTTGTATTCATGCTTTGGTTTAAGGTATTTCTATGCTTGTGGTTTTGTGAGATTAGCTGATTTTCAGTTGATATGGCGTTATGTACTCGTTAGTTTGTGGATTTAGACTTGTTCTTAACATTTTAATTCGAGATATCAGTCCGAAACTTGAAGTCGCAGTCGTTTATGAAGCTCCTGTTGTGTTTCTGTTTACCGTGGATGGTGATACTTTGATAGTTAGATTGCATCTAATCATTGTGATTTGAGGTGTTGACTTTAAGCATTTGAGGTAAATTACAGTTGATGTTTATGGTTTTTGGATTATGCAATCAACATATTTCTCGTTTGGCTGTCAGATATTAACCGGATTACACGGCTCGGGCATGGGAGTTGTGACGGTGTCGAGTTCTGCCACAGGATCGCCGGTCGGACTGAACTCTAGGTACTTGAACCGCGTGTCTCTATCCAGAAGGCCGGTGGTAGTGGCTTTCAAATCCGATAAAAGTAAAAACAAGGCCTTAGTTGGGACTCGGGAGCCCGTGGCCTTGCCTGTGGAGGTGAATAAAGAGAATGTGAAGAGGATAAGAAAGGCAAAGAAACGCAGCGAACGGGTAAATGCTGTCACGATTGACGGAGCTCGCCCGAGCACGTTGGAATTGGATTACAGTGAAGCTGCTGCCAAATTAGAGAATTTGTTCAAAATAAGCCCGATTGTTGTACCTGATGAGGTGTTGGAAACCCAAAGGGTAAAACGGAGGCAGCCAAGAAGGAAGAGGAGCCGTGAAAATGAAGAGATAGGGAAAAGAAGTGCAGAGTGTTATGTAAGGAGTCAGAGGAAGGGTATAAGACTGAGTCTCGAGAAGAGAATCGCTTTGAAAACGAAGAACGAAGGTGAAACTGTAGAGTATGTAGATAAGAAGAATAATAGAAAGGATGATGAGGATGATAAGATCAACCGGCTTGTCAGGGAATATTCATCCTCGACTGATATGGGCAGCTACGATTGGAAGAAGATGAAGATCCCACCTGTCCTTTCTTCGTCTGAGCACACCTGCCTGTTTAAGCTGATGCAGCCTATGAAGGTTAGTGCATTAGCCTTCAAGTGAAAGATAATTGTAGCTGCTGCAAATTATTAGAAAACGGGAAATCTTATATGCTTTCTATATTTTCTTCAGGAAATTCTTCGGGTCAGGGACATGTTAGGAATTGACTTGAAAAGGGAGGTAAAAGATGATGAGTTGGCAGAGGCAATGAATACAGATGTTGTTCGATTAAGGAGACAACTGGAGGTCGGTCGAGCTGCCAGAAGCAAATTGATCAAGGTAAAAACAATATAAATTCATTTGTGTTTATTGTTTAAGTTGAAGTTGAGGATGGTAACTTATTACCTTGCTTGCTTCAAATTATGTCGATGCTTCAACTGAGGATCGCATCAAATGTTTGATTGGAATCGTTATTATTCCTTTTTGTCACAGCACAACCTCCGGCTTGTTTTATTTGTCATGAACAAATACTTTCAGGACTTCACAAATGGCCCGAGATTCGAAGACCTTTGTCAAGTCGGGGTAAAGGGTCTCATAATGGCAATTGACCGTTTTGAGCCCAAGAGAAAGTTTCGGCTGTCTACATACGGGCTCTTCTGGATCAGGCATGCGATCATCCGCTACATGACGGTCACAAGCTTTAATAAGGTCTCCTTTGGTCTCGAGTCGGTAAGCTTCCGGCTCTTCATGAAATCAGACTAAGCAGTCTGTCTGACAATATAATTTGAAAGACTAACAGATTAATTACAAAATATACCTTTTAGGTATGGGCCAATTGCAAAGAGACCCCAGCTAAATAAGAAATCAGATGAAACATCTTGAATAATTTTCTTTGTCTTACATTCATAAACAAAACCTTATTAGAATTTAGAACCCCTATTCACATTTGTAATAATACTACAGTTGTGGCCCCTTCATTTTAGCACTGGATCTTTACTGCATGGGTAAAATTTTAGTTTTTGAAAGTTAATTTGTGATTGTCCTAGAGAAGAAAACGAGTGTCTCTGCGCGACATTGATTACAAACTCAACTATATTTTAATGTAGGTCAGATTACAAATCAAGAAGGCAAAGTTGGAGCTGTTGTTTGAGTTGAAGAGACAGCCTACAGATGAAGAAATCATAGCCCGAGCTGGAATTTCCCATGAAAGGTACCATGACGTAAAGAGGGTATCAAAGCCTATTTACTCTCTCAACGCCCGGCATTGGTTGACTAACGAGGAGTTTATCAACGGTTTAACCGATGTAGATGGCATCGATGGGGCTAATAATAGAAGGCATCCCGCAATCCTCAGGCTTGCTTTGGATGATGTGGTAATACTACTAAACCCTTTATTCTTCATATTACACTTGAACTTTCGATTTGTAGCTTAGAATGGGGCCTTGTTTGACAACACCTAGATGTGTAAATGAGATGAGCAGAGCTCGAGCTTGAGCTTGAACTTTTATCGAACTGAGTGAGCTCGACTTATTTATGAATATTAACGAGGCGAACTCGAGCCTTAAAGAGCCGAACTGTAGAAAATTATATAATAATTCCCTTTTTTGAGCCTCAACAAGTTGATCCAAACTCGGTTCGTTAAGTAAACGAGCTTAAGCCCCATTCATTTATCAAACGAGCCGAGCCGAGCCCACGAACGGCTAGTTTTGTACAGCAGTTCTAGCTGCATGTATACTATGATTGTGTAAAGTGAGCTATATATGTTTTTTTCATACGAGTAGTTGGTCATTTGTTTTTTCTTAATGTAAAACGATAAATATTATGTAACTCAATGTTTTGAGTTGTTTATTATGGAATAGGATGCTTTTCATGATACAAAATACAAATACTATCATGAAACAAGGAGACATTGACCATATTTCCAAATTATAGATTTCTTCATATTTGTCACTTATAAATATTTGAATGGACTTATCTAGTATTTAACCTGTTCCACTTGCTCCTGTCCGGAGTGGCATTTCTATCTTTTTACCATTATTGGCAAAAAAGTTCAGACGAAATTGGAAAAATGGAATCATATACCCCAATCCAATTTATTGGTCATAATATTAATTTGCATCATCATTGCTGCAATGCTGTTAGAAAGAAAAAAAGCAAAAAAAAAATACTATACCTTTAGTATTGTTCATGCATAACTTCTTTCTTGTTTTTTTAGCTAATTGCTAGTAGTTTAGTCTGTGTCGATCTATATAAAAATTCTTACAATTTTTAACTTACCATGAAGAATTCTATGCCTCTTTTCATCCTTTACCAAAATCTTCTTATAGCCAACATTTTTCACAGCACATAATGAATAAAAATTGAACTCCTTTTTGCAGCTCGACTCGTTGAAACCAAAGGAGAGTTTGGTGATTAGACAACGATACGGACTTGATGGCAAAGGAGACCGATCACTTGGAGAGATTGCTGGAAATTTGAACATCTCAAGAGAAATGGTCCGAAAGCACGAGGTGAAGGCTCTCATGAAACTCAAGCTTTCGGCTCGAGTAGATTACCTTCGCCGATACATTTCCAGGTGGGGATGAATAATCGATACAGATAGTAAACACCTTATTGATTTATACATTATATACATGCACGTAAGTGTATAACCGTGTATAATCTTTTTGTTTTTTTTCTCGTCTTTACTAGCAACAGCTAAGATACTCTGTTCGGTTCCATACAGTGTAATCTCGTATTTTTCATGTCATGAATCGTGTATGTATGTATGCATGTATGTATGTGTTTGGTAGCATTAATATATAAGAGGGTATATATTGGTTGTACTTGAAGACAGGAAACATTCGTCTGCATGATGTATGGTATATCATATATGTGTTTCAGAAGTGTGATTGCTCGACCCGTCTAACCATTAGGTTATCTGATAACAGAATTTGTGATAGTCAATCAAACTATGTTTGAACATTGCGGTAATTGGCACAGTGTGATCAGCTGAGAATTTTCTTTCCAAGAGAAAATAGAAAGTTCGAAAGAAAAATATTACCCGAAACCTTTTTCTCTATAATGAGAGACCTGTAGCCATAGCCAATTGGAAAATAAAGTAACTTCACTCGAGCAACTGCAACCACGTACAGCGAGCACAATCTGTAACAGATCACCGTGAAATGTCATTCAAAATCGAACACGAAAGGCAGCATAGGAAACATTTTGTACATTCTATCTGAAACAGAACTCGTTTGACAGTGAGCAGTAATTCCCAAAACACGAGAGATATTTAATCGATCGAATATGACGAATCAAATACAGCTCCTCGCTTAATTAAAATTGAGATAGTGAATGATCAGAATAAATCAGTAAATATTTTAATTCTATTTGCACACTCATATATTGTGCATGGTTAGTACCCTTTTGGGCCTCATCCAGTAGAGGTGCAGCTTGTGGGAAGCACTGATCATGCAACGAATGGGAAACAGTGAGAAGATTGTCAGTGTGGCATTTTATCAAACAGTAGAGGTGCACGCAGAAAGAGGTTGAAGATTTGAGCTTTTTCGGTTACAGGACAATGTACCCAAAAGTTCATTGAAATATGATGCTCTTAAACAGAGTTTGTCATAGTTAGCTTACATGAATTAACGTGTGATATAGCCGTGCATTGCGAGCTAATTGGAGTTATTACAAAGTTGCTCTAGCTATTTTATTAAGAGCTATTAAGCTAGTTACTCTAGCTACTCACCTTGGAGTAGACGTGGCCAATTGCCGGGCCGTGACCTGGGCCGGCGGGCCTCCATTTCACAGCCCGTGACCGGCCCGCCAATTTATATGGGTCGGTTCATAAAATCGGTCCCGAACTGCCGGTTCACCAGCACGGCGAGTTTTGGGCTGTTCCAGACCGGTACAACCCTTAAAAGAAAATAACAATGCGGTCCGTCATCCAACCCGCTGCCCGGCGGAAAAAAATAATTATGAATTCAATAATAAATCAAATATACGAACTAAACACAAATAGTCATTACCATTTAAGTCCAATTTTAATTAACCCCTATTTTAATCAACAAAAAATCATTTAGTCAAAGCAACACGTGTCACATCCACAGCCCGTCACCAAGCCCGACTCTTCATGCACAGTGCCACGTCTACCTTCTCTCTCTCTCTCTCCTCTCTCCCCTCTCCTCTCTCCTTCACTTTCTCTGACTAATTCTTCACACAAAACTACCTCAAAACCCGAATTCCCCCCCTTCCCCCCTCTCTCTCTCTCTCAGCTAACGACCCTTTTAACTCCACGCACCGAAAAAACCAATCTTGAGAAAAAAAAATGGTGAAGCTAGCGTCGGCCCGAGAATCCCGCATGTACGGGCCAAGACTGGCCCGAAACCGTTCGGAGTACATGAACGCGGGCCTTTACGTGTTCGCCACGATCCTGCTGATGGGCGGCTTCGCGGCCCAGTTCTCGAGCGAGCCCAAATCCGGCCTTGTCCTCCTCCTGATGGGCTTTCTCATCGTGATGGCCGTGAACCTCCACGACCTTGCGGCCCACCTCGCCGGAATAGATTTCCGGCTGCCGTTGGTGGAGTTCGATATCCAGCTGGCGCTCGTCGAGTTTGCGGTGCCCCTTGTTTACAGTCTAGGGACGCTTCTCCTTTTCTTGGCCACTCTTTTTATTCTCGTTCAGGTATGTACGAGGATACTATAAGAAAAATTGGTTTTGTATCGATTTGTGTTGGTAAGTGGGAAAGTTTGAATAGATCTTGAAAAATTGGTTTTTCTTAAGAATGAATGAGAAATTAATTACTTATATGTTGGAAATTAAACGATAGTTTCTGTATGTTATCGGACCATATGTTGGGTCTATTTCTTTTAGCCCATCAATGTAAGTCCCCATAGGCTGAATTCGTTACTTTGTCGAATTGCTCCAATTTGCTTATAATCTTCCGATTAAATATTTTTTGTTGATGATTAATGGAGTTTCAGGCAGGAAAAAAGCACGAGCATTTTAAATTGGAACGTGTTGCTTTGAGCATGTTGATCGCGGGTCCCGCTTTGTGGCTACTTGGGTCGATCCACAACTCGTGCCAGGTGTACGAGAGGGCAGGAGGGCACGTACAGGTCTTGCAAGAGAGTGTTCTTATCCCGTTTTTAATGGCGAGCCTGTTGTTTCTCGTGGGTTCGGTTCTCAACAGTCGAGAACAAGTCGGGCATGTTCACCATGGCTTGAAGTTGTTGGTAATCACAAGTTAAATTAATTTTATACACCAACTTTGAAATGATTGCTCGATTAATGGCCATATGTTATTGTAATTAAGTTATTTGGTCGCTCGACATAGAGAATCTAGCTGGCCTAGTGAATTGTATTATGTAGTTGTAAGATATGAGGGAATGCAGTTTTTTAATTTAGAATTAGAGGGAGTTTCCGGAAAATTAAAAACTCAGATCGAATTCAAACTAAAGGTGATAATTAATTTGTCGTGATACCTACACGGTATTTATAATTTCAAGAAATTTGAATAATCACACCTTGATTC